CAACACTGAACTTGAACCAGACTCCCACCATCCGCCCCTCAGGCCACTTCAATAGCTATACCATTACACTGCACCTAGCCGGCCATGATCCCCAGTGGGAACATCAGCCAGCATGCAAATCAAAGTAATCACTGCTACAGGTTACAGTGACCACAACCAAACATCCAGACATGCTCTAATTAACCGAATTATCAGGTCTGCACTGGGTGATTGTCTCTGGCTATTGTCTTTGTCCGAGCCGCCGTTGTCTCCACAGCAGCATTAATCAGAACGAGGAACAGGACTCAAGTGCTCTTTCCACTTGCGGTCACGATGCGTCTGCGTTCCTGAAGGAATTCAACAAGAAATGATGACAAATGGATGACATCAGAGGCAGTATATTGCAGGGTGATTGGAACCTCGTTTTCCTGCACAAGCAATGCCAAAAACTAATCATACATGTCTGAAAACAACTTCTCAGATATCTCCATTTATCCCTTTATAATTACACTCAAGTTTGAGGAATTAGATGTGCATTCAGATGAAATAGAGCGTAATAAGTGTCAAACCACCCATTTAATCACTGCATCTCTGGAGCTTCTCTGGAATGTTCTTTGTTATGGGAAGAACAGGTTTATTTGCAAACTAGCACTAGCCAACATGGAACCTATCCCGTTGTATTTCGCAGTTCTACCTGGATTAGATCCAAATTGTGCATTTGATCAAATTTGACAAATTGATTTTCATTATTATTTGGCAGTCTGTGGTTCTTTACAATAGAGATGTCACAAAAAAAGCCAAGGCAAAATAGAATACATTGTATACATTATAAAATGTAAAAAAGAAAAATAGAGCGTTGGATATTAAAGCTGGGGTACTTGACTTATGTTGTTTGTCCCAACAGAAGGTGTCTTGTAAAAGTGAGACTCTCACTTGTTTCATTAAGGGGTGGGAACCTCAGGGTACCTCACGATACGATACGATGTGCGATACAAAGCTCACAATAACAATTATCTCACGATATGACGATACAGCGATTGTTGATATATTGGTCAAAAATATATCTATGATAATATTTTTCTTATATTTATGGCATAAATTAAGTGAGAAAATACACTTTATTTCAATATAAATGGATAAAGTGTCATGTGTAACAACCATAATGCCTTTTAACCTGCACATTTTAGTTAAAAATCTTACATCCAACGAAATCCATATTAACATAATGTAGCCATATATTAAGTAACAATACTTATTTCTTTTTCAAAAAAGGGGGCGACAGTAGCTCAGTTGGTAGAGCATTGGCCTTTGGGCCTGAAGGTCGTGGGTTCAACCCCACCATAAGACCTACTTCACGATTCCCACTGATGACTACTGTCGTTGTGTCCTTGGGCAAGACACTTAACCCCACTTTGCCTGAAGCCCCCACTGAAAGATCTCAGCTCCTGTGGACTCACCACCTGCAGGAGGATCAGTGAGGGGCTGGTGCTAAGTGTACTGGGTGCAGCTCTGACTGCCACCCCCCCCGACCCGGAAATGGATTAAGGGGAAGAAAATGGATGGATGGATACTTAGCAAAAGCATATTGATAATTGATTGTGTGAGAAAGTATCACGATACATCACCATATTGATTTATTGTCACGCTCCTAGTTTCAATGGAAGTGTCTCCTTTTCTTTGACTGAGGATGAGCCAACACATGCACTGTGGCCTGTGGCTCTGTCTGCTCCACAGTGACTCCCTTAATGGTAAAAGAATACTTGCATGTGTGAATATAATGCCACCCTGATAGCACTGGAGCGCTTACTGTAAGTGGCCACAATTCAGACCAAGTGGTTTCACACAAACAAACAACTATGCAGCATAAAACCTAATAGCTAAAATGGATTTCTAACAGCTGTTCCTGAAGTCTTGGTGCTGATGACCCCCTGATCAATAGAAAATCTATCATGAATATTTTTATTCAGAAATAAAAACTCAAATTACAACATGAACACGAATATGAATCATTTGAGTTGTACAAAGTAGCATTCATCTTCTCATTTTATTTACCAGACATTTGAAGGTGTGAGATTTCATAACACTTTTAAGCAACTTTTGTTTAAGTTAAACTCATCATTCTATCAATGTGCAGAAGCCAGTACTTTTCCCTTGTTTTGTCTATCTGAAGGCCAAGCTACATGGCACTGTGGCAGCTGCTGATTGGAGGTCTCCATGCCTCCGCTCTGTATAATACACTTGCATTCTGTTGTATCTGTGTTCGTGTGCTTTGTTCGTGCTGTCTCTACCATTGACAATAAAACATGTCTTCTGTCTGAATGAAAGACGCGATCCCAGACTATGTCATCTTCTTCAAAGATTTGATTTAATTCTCAATATTTTGTTGTGTTTGCATCCATTGGGGGTTGAAGTGCCTTTGAGGACCCCAAGTGAGCCCTAGACCCCACTCTGGGAAGCAACGAGTTTGAAGACTTACGGAGCTACTAACCAAGTGTGGATTTCAAACGTATGCATTACAAAACATTTAAGTTTGATTGGGCCTTTTCTGCTGCTGGCTTCAGACTCTCATTGATCGTCATGCACTATGGCCTATTCAATCATATTTATTCAACCATGTTTACTGATTATTTACATAATTTAAGCCTCTATAGTCTATATCATCATTAAGAATATTTTCTTTGTTGCTGTATAAACTTAAACAAATATTTTAAATCAAAATTGTGCCATTTTCATTCTTTATATATAAATGTGTGTGGCAACATGTATATTTTAATTTTTTTGTCCCAAAAGTAATAGGAATTTATATTTGCAGAGTGGACACGAATGACTTTCTGTCATTATTAAAGCTGGGGTACCAAACTTTCAAACCACAAAAATGTATTTGGTTCCAGACCACCCTCACCCGCAATCAGCTCTCAGCCCTTAATGACAATATTTATTTAAGTTAGAAAACGCCACTTTAATTACATTAAAACTGTAGTAAGTGGAAAGAAAAACACATTGTAATCTCTTTTTATGTAAATCTACCAAAAATTATGCTGCCACATTCTTTTACCTTAGTTGAATGGAAGTATAGTCATCATTCATTGCTGAAAAATGTTTTGTGCATATAGATTGATTCTGTGTAAAATGGTTAAAAGGATCTCAAAACCTTGTTCAACATTGTAATTACCCATAGTAAGTAAGTAAGTAAGTAAGTTTTTATTTATATACCGCCTTTTCACTGCAGATCTGAGTCTCAAAGCGGTTTACAATTGTTAATTTTGGGCATTTATCTCTCACTCCACACAGAGATGGGAGCGGGGTCGCCAGTACAGGAAGCGCATGCTAGAACTATTGGACATATTTTTAGTGGTAGGGGAAACCAGAGTACCCGGAGGAAACCTACGCAGACACGGGGAGAACATGCAAACTCCACTCAGAAAGGCCCTGGTCCGACCGGGATTTGAACCCAGGACCTTCTTGCTGAGAGGCGAGAGTGCTATCCACTCAGCCACCGTGCCGCCCTAGTTCACATCCCTCTGTCGGCCTCTCCAGTTACATTTGTCACTATTTCTGGATGCCTTGTATTTCCCCTGCTCTTTCTCTGGACCTACAGTATGTCTTGATCAAACTCAGCTCTGACTCGATATGAAAGGCCGAACGCTGAATTACCGTGGCACACATTCAATATAAACTGAATTTACTTTTGGGCCAGTTCCAAGCCACCATATGTTACGGAGAGTGTTGCCCTGAGCACAGCATGACTGATTCTGTTAATGTTGCAAAGCTTTAAACCACTCAAGCACAAACGCACGGAGGACACAGGATAAATATCTCCAACACATTTAGCACTCGTTATTATCCTACATAATAGTGAAAACACGATGATGCATTTATGTAGCTAACATTATTGTTTGCTTATGCGTTCCATTTGGTCCTTTTGTTTATTTTTGTGGCAATGGAAACATCCAAGTGAATATTTTCATGTCAGAAAGTTGTGCTGAGAACAATGCTTGTATTATTGGCCTGTTGTAGCGTTGCAGCCGTGTAATCATTCTCCAGGGATTGCTGTGTGCTTTGTCCATTTACAATGTGGATTTTGTTTCCTGGCTATTGTCCGGTTTGTGTTTTGTAAAAAGCAGCAGTGAGTGTTGTCGTATGATTGGAGACAGATTTACCTGTTCCAGAGAAAGGCCAGGTGCACAACGTCATTTAGCAAAAGAATAACACGACGGTCATGTGTTTGACTTTGTTTATTTATGTTTAAGTTGAAGCTGTACTCATGTTATGTCACTTTCGGCAGGAGACCACTTTCATAATGAATAAAAGACTTTCTTAATATTAACTAAGCAATACAATCAATGTAATTAGTTCCTAGTTCTATCATTGTCACCTGCATATATTCATTGCCTTTGTCACATCTTTACATCAGCTTTTCGCACAGACAAGTGAAAAAGAGAGGACCACCCTCACTCAGCCAATCAGCTCTCAGCGTCAAATCGTGACTCAGTAAAAAACATGTTGAGGTCTGATGTGTTCACACAATGTTTCTTGAAAATACTTTCTGTTTGGATAATAACAAAAGGTTTATGTTTGAAGAAATGCTATTGTATATTTTCTTGTTCGGGACCTTTGTGTTTGTGTGACAGAGCAGAGGGCACACCCGATTTATTTTTCCAGACGCTGTGAAATTAAAGTCAGAATATTTTGACTTAGTAGTTGAACTATTATGAGATTGTGAGATCAAGGATAAACTTGAGTTCATGTTTAAAAAATTGAGAATAAACTCATTATATTATGTGATAAAAGTCAGAAAAATTCACAGTCGGTGCATACTGTAGAAGTTCACAGAAGCTCTAGCTTATTTGTTTATAGCTTATACAGTAATGTAACTGCTTTAATGCATATTTGAAAATATATATATAAATATGTTGTAAATATATGACATTCCCACTATACCTTCTTACATTTTACAGATTATATTTTTCAAATTAAAATCCTAGTCTTTGTGCACTAATGCTGTGTTGTCTCCCTCCCAGTCAGTGGTTCATACTGCTCCGAGAAGACCTGTGCAGAAGACAGACCTCTGTCACTCTTCTCCCAGAGCCTCCAGTGCGACCGGCCCGAGCTCCTACTGCACCAGGACACCAGGTCAACCACTTTTATTCACTATCATGTTCCTCATAAAACTCTCTGTGGATATAGCATTACAGACCAAATGCAAGAACAATGTGGATTCCATTATCTCTGCTGTAACAAAACAGATGTACAGTACCATGAGAATCTTCACCTACTCTTAAAACACACAGAGCAGAGCAGAGGACAGCATTATGTTCAACTCATGCACTTGCTGTTTCCCGTATGTGGCTACTGTTGGTTAAGTCATTCGTACAGTTCCAGACTCCAACTTCACCTACTCAATGAAAAGCACCTGGATAAGTATATTTTTCCCTAAACAAGAAGTGTATCTCTAAAACAGTGTCTCTCAGCTTGTATTTAGACAGGACAAAGTGAGTATCCTTCTCTGTGTAGAGGGCAGAGACAAAGACGTATCCTTCATGGGACAGCGCAGAGAAAGGAGAGCTCTTCTCACATCACTCAGGGGCTTTGGACAAAATCCATAATGAGCCAACTGACAGCAATGATTATGTAGAAGATCATAGCGACGCATGGAGAAATATGACCTGGGGGTTCCATTCAGCCAGGCAAAGATTCCCACCATAATACACAGTATTGTAGATGGTGACCCCTTTATAAGCTGCAATTATGCCACAAAAACAGTTGACTCCCTGTTTATGCTCATGTTTAACCCTGCCTGTCATCAAAGCCGATCAGGCGCGGCTTTCAGTTTGCCCAGTTATATTCTTAAAAAACAGCACACGTTTGAGGAAGGCATAACTATTCTTTTCCTTTCCTATTGTCCATGTACCTGCTATCATAATAGCATTTCCACATTAACATTTCTATTATAACTTTAGCTTGAATGGTGAAAGGGAAATGCAGCAAGAGGGGGGGATGAGGGGGGTCTTTTTTGGAGGGATGGACTTGCCACTGTCTGTCACCAGCTCAAACTAATGCTGCTCATATTGCTGTGTCTTTCTGAACAGATCATCCTCAGACTTTTCCAGGACGCTGCCGGTGGCCTCCCCCAGTTTGTGCAGAACCAACGGCGTCCACTCCCCTCTCTCTTACCAGATCAAACAAGAAGCTTCAGTGGGATACAATATGGGACACAGTGAATCACAGGCTGGATATCAGAACCTAAAGGAGGAGATCATTTTAGGGGCGACAAATAAACTGACTGGAAGTCCACAGGTTAGCTGTAGTGTTACTAGCATACGTACAGTAAACGCTGTTAGCAGTGCTGTGTCAGCAGACACATCACAACCCTTTAATAATGAAGATGGCTCCTCCCCGCTGGCTTTGTCCCCATCGGGCTCCCATCATTCAGCGCGGCGACTCGGTTCTAACAGGCTCAAGAGGCACTGCCTGTCCCTGGCCTCGCAGTCCGCAGCCACAGCGTCTCCGGCGGCCGCTGCTACAGCCATCGACGACATCAACATCTGCTCTGCACAAATGTCCATGGTCTCCTGCAACGGCTTCCACCTGTCGCCAAGTCACAACACAGGCTTCTCCTCCACATCTCCTCCCTCTACATCCTGCACTCGGGACGCCCAGTACAAACCCCCACCTCAGCGGAGCCCCCAGCCTCCTCCGGGGCAGGACAGGTGCCAGCGGTCATCTCCTGCCTCCTGCCTGCTGTCCCTGTCCTCTTCCGCCTCTTCAGTGTCGTCAGTGGAGCTTGAGGGCCACGCGCTCTGTGAGGAGCAGGGCTCCATGCACCTGGGCCGGGGGGCTGCGGGAGTGGACGGGGACGCAGATGGACTGGGGCTACTCCTGAGCGGGTCAGTGATGCCTGGGACACTCCAGTCGGAGAGTGAGGCTCTTATGGAGGCCTCCCAAAGATCAGGAGCTGCTCTGAAGCAGGAACCACTGGACGATTTCACACCCAGTGAAGACGAGCTCTTTCAGCACCACTATCATCAGCATCATGTCAATGGGCGAATTGGGCATCATCCCCACCCCACTCGTCCTGCCATGCCACCCCCTTATCACTTGCACCAGTACGTGGGGCCGAGCCCAGGGGGCCTACACCATCAGAGCCAAACAGGACCGGCCTGTTCCATGGGACATAAAGAAGCCCCCACAGCTCCTCCAGGGCCACACAGACACACAGACCGAGAGGACATATCCACCGGAGCCATTAGTGACAAACAGGTGTGTCGCTGGATCGACTGCAGTGCGGCCTATGACCAGCAGGAGGAGCTGGTTCGGCACATTGAGAAGGTGCACATTGATCAAAGAAAAGGAGAGGACTTCACCTGTTTTTGGGCCGGCTGCATCCGTCGCTATAAACCGTTCAATGCACGCTACAAGCTGCTGATCCACATGAGGGTGCACTCAGGAGAGAAGCCCAACAAGTGCATGGTGAGTGACCAGTCCAACTCCAGTCTCAAATGCACATCAGAAACATGAGGTCCTGAACAGCCCTGCACTCAGCTTGCTTTTACAGAACACCTTGTAGCTGTTATGATAGTAGAATGTATTTTTAGGGGAAATTACAGAGAAGATCTCAGCTGCCCTGCCATGTCGGCTTGAATACATTTGAGGTTGTATTTATTACAGGTAAGTCTCCAATTGCACAAGTCAACACACTAATCACTGTCAAGCTGTCACTCCCTCGCAAAAGTGGAAAAAACCTAACTTCAAGAATGATTTAGTCCAAATACACAATTAGTCCACAATTTGTGTAGGGCCAAGACATGTTTATTTTCTCGAGCGCTGTGTTTTTGGAGAGGGGATTCAGATCATGAAAAGCCAACACATATGGTTAAAATAACTAAACAATGCCTACACTTGATCCTTTTAAATGGGAGCTTTAAATGTTTAGCTGTCCCACAAGTATTAAGTGAATTGCCTTCATATCCAAGCCAAACAGTCGGAGAAATGTAGTAGTCTGGATAGTTGAGCCATTGCGAGTCTTGCTCAATTCACAGTTTTACCAAAAGCTTCTGTCAAAAACCACACTCCCCTGTTTTAGGAGCTTTTCCAAAACCTAATTATCCAAAAAAAAAAAACTCAGACTGCAGTCCTTCTCCTGGACCTGTTTTATCTCAACACTTTTTTTTGTATCATGTAGAATAACATTGTGCAGTAGTGTCCACATTTCTGTGCTATTTATATTTAAATTATGACTGCCAAATGACCAGTGAATGTTTACTCCATCTCTACTTGGTTTACTGTAGGTGCATGAATGAGATATTGTTCAATTTTGAGGCTTGTTTGGGAGATGTGTACCATATGCGAGTTTTTAGAACAATTTGGGCTCAGTACGAACGGACCGCTGCACTCTGTGACCGAGAGGCCCCGTGTTCTATCAGGATCAGGCTGCTAAAGGTCTTTCCTCCTTTTCATTCACGTGTATACATAATAACAGCAATATTCTTTCCACTGCGAGTTTACATAAAGCTATTGATCTGTTTGACTGCATTGAAGGTCGCTGATCCTTTTCCGACAGAAGGTAAACAGAAATGTGAAAGGCTAGAGTCAAACACTTGTAATCAGTAGGCTGTATGTTGTGGATATGGCAATTGAAAGATAAACTTGGAAGGACTTCATATTGTAGTGCATTCAAATGAGTTTTGCAGCCGGATTTGAGAGTTGTTGTGGTTGTATTTGAAGATAGATAGATAGATAGATAGATATATACTTTATTGATCCCGAAGGAAATTGTGCACTCGTCCCTTGCTCGCAATCAAAATAATTGAATAGCATTTGGTAAAATAGTTTTGCTGACCCTATTGAACAGGTGACGGAAAAATTAGAATATTGTTCAAAGGGGAGTTTTTTCAACTTAAAATGTAAAACTAATACATTCAGACTCGTTACAGACTCGCCAAGCCTTTGTTTGATATAACTCTGATGATTATGGCTCACAGTCCATTTTCAAAATAAGATAGTTTTGTATAGTTTCCCGAGATGTTTATTTGGGGTTTTTACAAGCTGTGAGCCAATTATCAACATTATAGCAAAAAAGGCTTGATATAGCTAACTTTGAGTGTACTGAGTCTGGCATATGTTATTTTCCCATTTTAGGTTGAGTTATCCTGTAAATGGACTTATGAACAATATTCTAATCTTCCATGTTTTTCAAATCCAACAACTACTCTTCTGCTGCAAAAATATAATCAACATTTGAATGCACTTCCAAGTTTACGTCTGCATTTCCATTTCCACAGCATACGGTCTACCTCAAGGGTTGGCTCTGAGCTTCCTCTGTATAAGTAATGCTTTTACGTTTTTACTGCAGGAATTAGGAGTTGTGGTTGGATTTGGATAAAATGTGATAGTTTGTGCTCCTTTATGTAACTATGCTTTTTGGGAATTTGTTGTTGATTGACTTTTACTTTTTGATAAGATAATAAAACAAGACAGTCTTGACTACTTAAGGTTATTGGATTAGTCATGTCATAATATAATCGTACGAATGGAAAAAATTATGGAGAAAAATCCCCTAATATTCAAATTAATGTTAATCTATTGTTTGTTGTCATAACATCTTTTAAAAAAAATCATATTTGCCTTTTGGGCCAATAGGTTTGCAGTCTTTTATTGTCAATAGGTCTTTTTTATACTTGAATGAACATAATTATTTTATAGGAATCTGCAAGAGAAATTGTTTTCTATTGGAAATAATCGTAAATGTTCATTAAATGAGCGTAGAAAAAAGTGTAAATTGTGACATCCCTAGTATTGGCATGTTCACAGTTATAGATGTAAACCACCTTTCATTTTATTTTGTAGTGTGAATTTAGTTTTTAGATTTTTAAAACCCAAACATGAGCCTCATTTTGCTCTCTGATAGGACACTAGGTCAAACATGATTTGTGCATGTGACCTGTTGTCTGGGGACACATGTAAAAGATGTAGATGTCTTTTTAAATCTAACCCCTAGTTATTTTGGTTTTCATTTTGCGTGATTCAGGATTGTTTACTAAAACATAGTGTGCCACTATAGTGTTATATTACAGTTATTATTGTTGCCGTATTGATGCAGCAATCATAGAATATAATATGCATAAATTGAGAAAAGAGTGGACAGTAGAGCGATATGAGTGTTTAGTATTTCGATACCGATAATTTTGTCTTGCAATCTGCATTAAACCGCAAGTGAAAAATCTCTTACAAAAATTAGGCACAACATTCAAATGCAGTATAGCACACATTTTTAACTCAAATCTTAATATTGCCAAATCACAGTATTAACGGAGTGTGTGCACTTTGTTATATATCGCGTAATGGCTGCAGTCAAAGCTTTGTGTCGCTTCAAAGTTTTCTCATAAGGAGCAACAGAAGAGAAACTGTCATTATGCTCGTTTGTGCTTTTACTTTAGTTTGAGATTATAAATGCACAGCACAAAGTACCCTGTGGTTGTGCTGGAGGTGGCTCTGGAGATTGTAGTGCTTCCCTTCGAAGTAGCGACAATTTTTTGGCATGACTTGCTAATAACTTGTTTCTGTGATTGGTCCTGTCTTGTAAATCCAAAGTAGTCCCAAATTCCGGAGGTAAAGTGTCTTTTGGGGACAAGTTCCTCTCTGCATTCGACTGCATTCGTCTTTTCATCACCCGCTTGTTTTGTTTCTCTGCGTGCTCCACTCTAGTGTGCGGTGGCACTATAGGTCGCAGATTCTTCACAGTGCGTGTACAAGAAATGTATACTTACTGTAAATACATCAAAACGATTGCGAATCTTTTTGTTATGGATATTGCACGTAGCAATATCGTGATGACAATATTTTTTGATATCTTGTGTGGTCCACACCGATTCTCACCGAGTCTTATTTCTGCGCACATTTTTATTATTGTCCTCTGCTGTGGGTCTTGATGTTGAAACCCTCTCTCACTTATATCCATATAATAGAGTGCTCATTTTCTGAAGTTCTAAGAACGGTGAAATGTGTTATATGTTTCATATATGTCATAAATCTTTGACCATTTATCAGTTGATTGTCCAACTACAATCTTTCAATTTTGTACTTTGTTGTCAATACCCAACGAAACACCTTTTAATCACGGAGAAGTGATGTGTTCATAAATAATGTTTGCCTTAAGTATTTTTCCTCCCTCCCTGTGTGTGCATATCATGTTATAACACTGACGCCTTTTGCAATACACAAAACCATCCAAGAATGTGAGTAATTCTTACAGAGGAAACAAATGAGACAGAACCACAGAATAACCAGCTCTAATCCTTTATTTTGGTTCCAGCAGCAGATTCCTCCAGTCTCTCTGAAGCATGACTTTTCTCATGTCCAAACATAACATATCCCCTCGCAGTCCGCCTTCTCTCTGCGCACATATCCGATCCTTTATATCTTTTTCGTACGTACAGCTGCATTGAATTTGCTCCACGCTGCGTCTTGGCAGGAATAAGTCATTATCACAACAAAACGGCTGTGCTCTGCGCTCCACATGCCCCTGTCGCGGACTAATGTTTTAAGAGATAGCTCGCTTTAAACAGGCACTTTATATTTTAAGTTGCTCAACACATGTGAGCAGGCATTATTTTGGGCTATTAAAATTATATTCAGGCTATTTACGCTGTCATTTTGTGTTTTAGACTGTAAAACTATATCTTCAGTAGAAAAAAAAAGGCAATTTACATGACAAACACATTAGTCTCAAAGTGAGATGTAGGCCCATTGTGTGCACCGAGAGCCAAAGCAATTTCCCAGTTTGTGACTGCTACAAGGGTAATGCAAATAATTCTGATTCTGATCAAGCCTTCATTTGTTATAATGGTGATGATTGGCTCATAGCAAGACATTTCCCGAAATGTATATTTTAATTAGGCTACAATCACAATATATATTATATAATTCTTAAGGATCACCCTCCCTGTACAGGGAGGATTCAGTTATTTTTCATTTAACAGCATCAGTATTAGAATTCACTTGTGTCAATATAGTCAAGCTATATCTCTTTTGAAAGCTTATTCCCACCTCTATACACGCATTATGTTCAAATAAACATTAAATATAACCAAAAGTAAGAATAAGTAGTCAAACTGTATATATATTTAAAATATATATTGTCCTTTCTTACCTTGTCATGCTAATATTCTGGGGCAAATCACGTCTAATCCACACATGTGTGCCTTCATTTTGTTTGTTAGGGTCTAGAGAATAATTATATCCAGTTGTTTTTTTCTTCAAAGTCATCCTTATAGTAGATATCCACTTGCAACAACATCTTTGAGCATTGAAAGTTGCACAAACAAAAACAAAACCTGTTCTTTGCGCACTGTATGAAGAGGACATTTTACTGTTTAGCTAGCGTCACTGGGTATGTTCGTCTTCCCCTAAGCCTCCCCTTCAAAACAAGCCCATTCCCGGACTTTTCAGTGCTATGGTTTGGAAGGTAGAGT